TTTTTATACATTTCTGATTTTATTTTCTGTTCTTTTTTTTATATTCCTGATTTCTATTAGATGATCATTTTGTTATTTTCTGTTTTTCCTCTGAGTTTTGAATACTATAGATTTTCTTTGTTTTCATATTTTATTTTTTATGTGTATGAGTGTATTGCCTGCATGTATGTGAGGGCACCCGTGTTGTGCAATGTCGTGGAGGTCAGAAGAGGGCTTCAGATTCCCCTGGAACTGAGTTAAGGATGGTTCATAGCTGCCATGTGGGTGCTGGGAATCGAACCCAGGTCCTCTGCAAGAGCAGTCAGTGCTCTTAACCACTGAGCCATCTCTCCAGTTCTTGAATGCTATAGGTTTTATTTTTATTTTTACATTTCTAAATGTGGTCAATAAAATCTAGAGTTACTCGATTTGTTTTCCTTCTAACTATAAGTAGTTATCATGGTTAACTTTCACCTAAGCCTTCCCTTATCTATCGTATTGTCTTCTCAAGTTTGCTTTCATTCTTTTTTAAACCCTGAATCATTACCTTTAAAATAGGTAGCAGCATTTTAGCAACTTCTGTGGTAATTTATTTCTTGTGTTCCATCTGTCCTGTCCATGTCCACTTTTCTTGAACTGCATCTTATAAGAGCTCTTCTAAGTAATTGCCAATAGTTGGAAATTTTCCTACCCTTCATATGTCTGCAGAATACTCTGAATTCATTCTTAATCGATGGTTTGGTTACACCTAAAATTCTAGACAGTTATTTTTCTTTAGTGTTCTGAAGATATGCTTCATTGTCATCCGACCTCTATTGCAGCTGCTGAGAAACGTGCTCTCAGTCTGTCATTCTGTTGAGGTAATCTGATTTTTTTCTCTGATAGCTTTTAAAAATGTGTTTTTATTGTTAATAGTATACAGTTTGTCTACATTGTTTTTAATGTGGATTCATGTCTATACAGTCTAAAACTTTTTTTCCTGCTGAATTTTTCATCAAAGTACAACTTGCATAAAATTTAAACTCATTTTGCCAGTGTAGTGGTGGACGCCTTTAGTTCCAACACTCAAGAGGCAGAGGCAGGTGGATCTCTGTGAGATCGAGATCAGGCTGGTCTACATAGCAAGTGCCAGGCCAGCTGATGCCAAGGGGAGATCCTATCTCAAAAAGGCCCCCCAAAAATTTTTTAAGCTCATTTAATTTATATATTCATATACCCTTGTTGCCGTCACCTACAAAGACATTAAGAACATTCCTAAATGCCCCAAGATTCCTTTATATACCTTCCTAGTCCATATAGCTGTTCAGACTTCTTCAATTGTGAAAACACTGATCTCCAGTTCTAGGAAGTTCTCAGCAGTGATCTGTGTCGTCACATACTGCTTCTCCATCAGCCCTCGTCACTTCCCCTAAAACTTCAGAAAAGCATGGCCACCTCACCTCAGTCTTGTCATTTACCTGCTTGTGCCTTTTAAGTTTATTAACCCATCCTAAATTCTGTTAGTGCCAACTTTCAGTATCATGCTTTCCCTGTGTCTAGTCTAAATCATCGATTCTTTGTATTTCAGTGACTTTATTTTTCTAAGTTTCTCATGTTTTTAATCCTTTCTACTTTATATTATTTTATTTCATTTCTGTAAATTTTTCTTTAGTTTCTGTGCTGGTAGTGGCTATTTTACCAAAAAATACTTAATTAAAAATACTTGCTAGAATCACTTTTCTAAAATGTAGTTTCTGTTCCAGTTACTGATTTTGTATTTTGCTTTCTTAACATTAGATTTCTTACTGTGATTGAGAACTAGTTTTGTGATTTACTTTTGAATGGAGATTTTTTTGTTTTTTGTTTTTTCCATGTCTTCCCTCCTGTCTGTCCCAAACCCCGGAATTTGCTATTGAGTTATGCTCCTGTGTAGCTTACGTCAGTTCCTGGATTGAGACAGTGTTTTGGTCCCTCTGTTCCTTTCACTGCAGTTTCTGATGAAAGCCATTTCGGCCAGCAGGCTTCCATCCATCATCTAGATATAGAACCCTGCAGGTCTGCGGTGCTGGCTCCTGCTCCCATTTTGAGCTTCTGTATCTTTTCTGTTGCACAGAAATGGTTTTATTTGACCTCGGTTATGTATTTTAGTTTCTCTTTATGCTTTTTATGCCTTATTCATTTGTGCGGGGTAGTGCTGACAGGGTTTCTGAGTTTGTCCTAAAGTGTTACCCAAGAGGTGTTATGAATGATCAAGCATCTCTCTTCATTTTGTAGTCAAATTGTGTTTAAAAGGAAGGGACCTGAGTGGCAGAGGCAGAAAGACCAGGAATCCAAGGCCGTCAGAGTGAGTTCAAGCTTAGCCTGGACTACATGAGACCTCATCTCCAAAATTCCAAGAAAAAAAAATTTTAAAGGAAGAGATGTGGAGTCTGTAATTTATTTATCCCAGAGAAGAAATGCATTTGTTATTATTTCTAAGAGTATGATTTCATTTTTAATGTTTTCTCAGTAATCTTTAATCTTTTTTACTTCAACAAATGTAATTTATACCCATTACAACTTTTGAAAAATATAAGGCATCCACATATCTTCACATGAAACACACACACTAAGAACTACTTGTAATTCCACAATCTAGAAATAGCTACAGAATACTTTGTTGTTCATTCAGGCTGTAGAGACATTCATATTAATATCCATGTTTTAAAAGCACAAAATGGCCAGTGGGATGACTCAGCAGGTTAAGGTACTTGCCCAAAGCCTGGAGTTCAGTCTCCAGGACCCACGTGGTAGGAGAAACCTAACTCCCACAAGTTGTCCTCTTACTCCACACATGCTGAGGCTTGCATACGCATGCAGGAGATAAATAAAATGTAGTCAACTTTTTTAAAAGATAGAATGAAACAAACCCAGTCTTGTTTTATAGGTGAGGCTGTGAGTGCTGGAGATGCGTTATGTGAGATTGAGACAGACAAGGCCGTGGTGACTTTAGATGCAAGTGACGACGGCGTCTTGGCCAAAATATTGGTAAGTTGTATTCTTTTTCCTTGAAGTAAAGTTCCGTACTCCGTGTAGTATTACGTTATGTATAATAAAGTCATGTGTTTAACTGTTTTATTGCCAATGTTTAATAGCCTTTTTACCTAAATTTTCTATCAGTATGATAGTTTTAGGATGGAGTTTTAGCACTTTTGTGAAAAACAAATAAATTAAACTGCTTAAGGCTGTACATGGCAAAAGTGTGACTGTTCAGGGTGTGTAGTGTGTTAGCTTTTGGAGCATGTTGCTCCCCCTAAAGCGGACAGCATGGTGCTGGGGTAGCAGCCAAGACTGTGGACTCAAGTCACTCTGCCAGTTGCTAATAACTGGAAAGTGCTGCCAGTTCTTTGTAATGAGTAATAAATTCATTATCTTGGTGCCTTTTTATTATCATAATGTGGAGACGATTACCTAAGTCACAAAATCATAGGGAAGATTATATAAAAAATATATAAATACTGATTCCAAGACCCCAGTAATGCTGCTGTTCCACTTGGTGCTGCTGTTTGCTCTGCTCTTGGTGACTGTTAGGCTCATGTTAGTCTGTGTATTTGGTCATCTGTATGTGGTGATTGTGCCTGGGAGTTAGTGTTCATTTTGCCCTGTACTGCTTGAACTGAACAAGCAAGTTGCCCACTGTTGGCAGCCCCTTGTGGGTGGGTGTTCTGAGTCATCAGCACATCTCTAGACTGAGCTTATCTATACTCCTTCCTTTGTCTCTTCTGCCCAAACACAATACTTTGGGATATTATGTGCTAACTAGATATCAGTTTTTTAACATTTTTTTTATTTGTGTTTTCTACTAGAAGATGCTCTAGTTGCATGTTTTTCCTAGCCATTGATGTTTTATTCCCGACATTCTAGCATATTCAACGTTCTTGACCTGCCTGCGTATTTGAAGGCTAAAATGTTTCTATCTTTGTAACTGGGAAAATAAAAATATTTATACTCAAAGTAGTTTGACTAATAATTTGTGCAGTATTTTGCAGAACATAGAGCTACTTGAAATACCATATGCAGCAAACCCAGCAACATTTCTCATGTGTGCTTGGCCTGTGTTCTTGGCCACAGGTCCAGATTGTTTCACTGTGAAAGTCTTCCAGGATAATAGCATGTTCCACTTAGTTGGCTAGTAATTCATTTCAAATTGCTAGCGATGCCAGTGGGTCGGTAGTCTATTCATCTGGGCCCTAATGCTCTGAGAAGAGGTGGGAGGTAGATAAAGTGACAGCTCCCTTGGTGACACTGGTTTCCTCACCAGAGAAAAGATTGTATGTAGATTTTAGGCCTTTGTGATTTTATTATTATCCTAGTACTTCCTGGATAATGGAAATTGTAGTACATTCCTGTTAGTGTGTGTGTAATTTTACAGGGCAAAAAAAGGGATGTTCGAGCTATATAGTATTTGGCTATGTAGCAAGTCAGAGACTGCACTAGGTGAGCTACATGAAACCCCTCTCAAATGAACAAAGTACCATGAATATTAAAGTAATTAAAAATACTTGATTATCTGGATATTAAAAACAGCTGAACTAGCCGGGCATGGTGGCACATGCCTTTAATCCTAACACTCAGGAGGCAGAAGCAGGTAGATCTTTGTGAAATCAAGGCCAGCCTGGGATGATGATCTACATAGAAAGTTCCAGGCTAGCTGGGGTTATATAGTGAGATGCTGTCTCAAAAAAGAACAACAAAACAACCCCCCCCCCAAAAAAAAGCTATTCTTGGTAGTATTCACATTCTATGATCTTAACCATTTCTCTAATGCTATGTCACTGCTATTTTTGTAAACAATGTATTTTCTCAGTACAAAGCTGTTAGATACCACCTCTCCTTTATTTTTCATTAAATTACCCACAGTTAGTTACCCTCGTGGATGCATTTTAGGGTTTGATTATGATTAATTAAAATTTGAACCTGCGTAACCTTGGACTAATTAACTGTGATATTGTTAATTGTGAAAGAACACTTACAAAGCTCAGACAAAATTCTGCCAAATGGAGGATATTCTCAGTTCTAATATTTTTCATATTGAAATGGGAAAATGATGCATTATGAGGAAATAATGTTGGTGACCCTCATAAGTTAAAAATGTAATGTAAATCGATTATATCCACTCTACATCTTTATTTTTTAATATTTTATTTATTATTTTTATGTGTTTGAGTGTATTGCCTGCATGCATGTAAGTGCACCCATGCTGTGCAATGCTTGCTGAAGTCAGAAGAGGGCATTGAATTCTCTGGAACTGGAGTTAATGGACAGTTGTTAGTCGCCATGTGGGTGCTGGGAACTGAACCCAGGTCCTCAGCAAGAGCAGCCACTGCTCAGCTGTCATCCCAGCCACTTTATATCTTTTTTTAAAAAATTAAGTACCAGCACCATCTTGAGATGGCAGGTGGCAGTTTTGAATGGGTGATTACAACTTATTTATAGACACAGTGCTACCAAATTTGTGTTCATATCAGACCTCATTTAAATACTAGCTTTGGAATCCTAGTAAACTAAATAACCTTTCTGTGCTTTGGTTCCTCCATCTGTTAGTTAGAATAATACTGCATCATAGATTGTTAGGTGTGGTAAGTGCATTCCTAGAACCCCGCCTGGCACTGGGAAGCCACACAGCTGTTTTCCAGACTTGCTGCTGCTTCCTTCTCAGCATTTTAGCAGTCATTGATCTGCTTTCATTGTCATGCTTCTCGTGTAGCTTCCTTTTAAGCTAGAGTTCAGGGTGTATATAAATTAGGAAGGTAAGATTGAAGAGTAAAAGCTATTTAAAATTACATAGACTGGAACTAGTATGTCAGACATGTGACAAAACTCATCTACTCCAACTGGTCTTATGCTCCATCAATAGTCAGTTTGCTTTTAAAGAATGAAAATACTTAAATAATTATTTGGCATACTTGTTATTTTATAATGTCAGAATTAAAAAGGTAGCTTTTACCATTACCTCTTGTTTTCTTGGCCCTGAGTCTCTTGTAGCTTGGGTTGGCCGCTAACTCGCTGTGTAGCTGAAGACAATATTGACCTCTTGATCCTCCTGCCTTCACCTCTGGAGTGCTGGGATTTCAGGTATGTTTCACCGTGCCTAGTTTTGCTAGTACCTTTAATGGAGTGAACCTCCTTCAATAATTCTCAGTTGGAAGATCCTGCTGTAGTCACTTTATGCCTTAGTTTTAGCATCCCATATCTTTGGTTCTGCTAATAAGCTTACATGAGCTGAATTTAGCATATTTGCAGATAATTAGTGTCAGCTTTTGAGAACATCTCTGGTAAAAAGGGCCTGTATGAAGGGGCTAGCCTAGGCTGTGTGGTGGAATTCAGCCTCTGTGAGTTTTATCAAGAGAGTTTGTCACTCTTTATTGTATGTTGGTATTTACCCTCTAGTGTTCCCAAGTGCATGCTGGACCAGTAGACATGAATACCAAGTGTACTTTGTAGTCTAATACTGATTCTTGTGGAGTATATTTGTTTTTAAAATTAGTAACTTAAAGGAAAATACTGTTACAACAATTATAGTTACAGCTTCAACATTTATGTGAAAGGACAGGCACTGTTCTAAGTTCCTTATACATGTAACTCATTTAGCCCCTCTACACTGTGAAATAGCTACTAGTATTTTCACCTTGCAGATCCAGAAACGGGTGCGAAATAAACTACTAGGATCACATAAGTAGTTATTATAGTAGTAGACCCACTATTGAAATTTAGGAAGCCTAAACAACTGTGAGAGAAGATTTGCTTTGAATGATAGACTTAAGGTTCAGTATCTCATTTATGAGCTCTGAGTTAGAGCTAAGTGTAAAAGTCCTTCATTTAATATTAAATTTTATTGGCATAAGAGTGGTAGAGGCTTATGATCAAATATGACAAATGTGTGGAAACATCTTAGGTGCTTGGGTGTCCTTGAGCCCCACATGCTTTGGTAGGGCAACGAGCCTGGAGAGGGAATGGTAGCAAAAGTCTGTTTAGTTTCTAAATGCAATTTTGCAGAGGGCTGTTTATTCTTCTGTTACTTTATCTACCAGTTTTGAATGTTTGCTAACTGCAGCATAGGCAAATGTCTGCAAGAAACAAGCACACCTTGAAAACATCTCTTACTGCATTAAGGGAATAGGATATGTCAAGATATCATAAATTCATATCATGATTTTAATGACTTCAAATAGAACTATAATGAACATTCTTTTCTTTAACTTGTTATATATTCAGGTTGTATGGGAGCCTATGATTTGAATTCCATGCTTCATAGTTTCATTTTTTATGAAAAAAATGAGTACTTAAAAATAAGTTGTATTTGATCTTTTGTACATTCATTGACAATAACTTAAGTAATTGTGAAAGTATCACTCTCATGTTGGTAGGGTATATGTAGAATCATTTGCGTGATCTACATTCGTGAAACAGAAGGTAAGGCATCAGTTTCAGATACAGGGTATTGTCCAGGTCACATTCCAGAAAGCTACTGATATTTCCAAAACAAAAGTATATTAAGTAGATTTCATGTTAGTCACTTTGTAATACTCAGTTATTTCATTAGCAGATAAACACTTAAAAAAAAAAAAAAAGACTAACCCAGTACAGTCTAAACTCATCTCTTTGAAAAGGAAAAATGGTAAAAGAATGTGAGCAATCCATAGAAGCGAAGCTTTTTAATATGTGAGAAACAACAAAGCAACTGAAGATTTTTGAGTTCTTTAGTATTTTTCCAAAGCATGTAATTCATTCTACCTCCTTATTTATTTTTATACTCCACTCTCATACGTACATGAAAGTCTTCATTAAGGCTGTGTTCCTGTTCTATCAGTAATTAATGAGCTTCCTACTCCATAGAATTTATACCTTTTTTAAGAATGGTGCACACACTAATAAACATTAAAATTAGAGTTACTCTGAAATGTCAAACCATTCCCGGAATCACACTTTTCATCATAATTATTGCATCAATGAACATCTTGCAGCCTTTCATATTATTCATTAAACCAATCTGTAATGAACTTTAGTAAAAGAGGGGGAGTAATAGAAAATCTTAAAGGGGTGTTATTTTCTTCTAGTACCAGACCTATATAATATTACCATCTCAATATTTTCTCAAAACTTCTTTTAGCAAATAAATTAGAATCATCCTTTAAAAATTAAATTTGTGCTGTTGAAACGCTAAAAATATTTGTCTTAAATTTAAAAAACCACCTTTATCTAGATTAAAAAAAATTTTTTTTTTATGTGTATGAGTGTATTGCCTGCGCGTGTATGAGTGCACCCATGTCATGCAATGCCACGGAGGTCAGAAGAGGGCTTGGGATTCCCCAGGAACTGGAGTTAAGGATGGTTCGTAGCTGCCACGTGGGTGCTGAGAATCGAATCCAGGTCCTCTGCAAGAGCAGTCAGTGCTCTTAACCGCTGAGCCATCTTTCCAGCCCCTAGTTTAGATTTTTAGTTGACAGATATTCTCTGGGAAAAAACAAAAAATGTTTCCTTAACTAGGGTACAGCTATATTTCTGGTGTATCAAAATCCCATAGGTATTATTTCCTGAGTTTTGTTTTTTGTTGTTGTTGGGTTGGAGGAGGGGAGTTGTTTGTTGGTTTGCTTTGCTTTGTTGAGATAGGTTCTCCCTGTAGCCCCAGCTGGCCTAGAACTCGCTGTGTAGACCAGGCTGGCCTCAATTTCACAATGATCTGCCTGCCTCTGTCTCCAGAGTGCTGGGATTAAAGTCATGCCTCACTACAACTGGCCTTGTATTTCCTGGATTTAAAAGTAGATATTCAAGGAAAGATATAATGGAGAAAAATATAAGCTATACTTAAAATTAACCAGAATAATTAACTATCTCTATCTGTGGAGTGTAATATTTTTTTGCCCCCCAGAGGCTAAATTTATTGAGAAAGTTCTACTTAAAATTAATTATATTACATAGGACTAATTTGGATAAAATAATCTTGTAAGCTTTTAGAATTCTAAAACCATTATAGAAACCAGGAAAGACAAGTAACTAAAATCTATTGCTATAGTCTCTTCTTTGAGATGTGCATTAATTGACATTACGCGAAAGAAGATAGTGGTAGCTCTGATTTTGAAAGCTGTCAGAAAAGTGATGGTCTAGGTTGCTTCATTTCTGGAGGCAGCCTTAGTAACTGGGAGAAGAGGAGCTGTGAGGAGGGTGTAAGGGGCTGAAGGTGGGAAGGACAGGAGGCAGTTCCAGGTGGAGACAAGCTGTCCTGATAACGTCTTTTAGCTCATTAGTTTTTCCTTGCAAGTGTAGAGCTATCTAACAAAGGAATAAATGGCTTTATGTGACCCAAGCCTTCCCATCTCTGCCATTATTTTCTTTTTAAAATACAGGCTGGAGAAGGAGCTAAAAATATACGATTAGGTTCTCTAATTGGTTTGATGGTTGAAGAAGGTGAAGATTGGAAAAATGTTCAAATTCCCAAAGATGTTAGTGCTCCACCTCCAGTTTCAAAACCAGCAGTGCCTCAGCCCCCTCCACCACCACAGATTTCTATCCCTGTCAGGAAAGAGCATGCAATGGGGACTCCACAGTAAGTATGTTTACTTGAATGTGTATGTGCAAACATGTTTATTATCATGTGCAAAATGGTTAGAGTTGCTTTAGGGTTTTAAATCAGTATCATGTTCAAAGCATCTCTGTCTCAAATTACTGGTCTTCCATTTTTTCCCCCTTAGGACACTGAGATATATGAATGATTATTTTGCAACCTTCATTTAATAAATGGTTTTCAAATGCCTGTGTCATTCAGGTCCTTTAGAAGCCCCAATTACCCACTAGAGAATAAAACCATCTGTATCTACATTGGACTTGAATTGGGTTTTAGAATTCCAGAATGATATTCATCTGACCAAACTTCACTTTTGTGTTCCCATTCACAGAATTCCAATTACTATGGTGTGGATTCCAGTTTCCAAATTACAGTTGATATAAAATGGAATTATTATTTAGCATGTTTTTCTTTCCAAACAATTCTGTATTTGAGATTCCGACACAGGTACATTTTTTTCCAGCTTCTCTAGCAGTACAGGTACTTAGTATAAGCATCATCTTCACCTCCCCAGATCTGGTCTTCAGATGCCCACACTGCATGTTGCTTTCATGTGAGTGCTAAGAACTCAAACTGAAGTCCTAATGCCTGGACAGTAAGCACTTGACCCCCAGCCATCTCCCCAGCCTTAATACTACATATTTATAAAGGATAGTATGTTAATTTGATGTATACCATGTGTAGTGATCACATCTAAGTAATGAGTACTGATCTTTTAGTTCCCTTTTACCACACAGAGTATTTCTGATTTCAACACCTTGACTCCTTATATTTTCTTTGATTTACCATTAAGATGGGAAGGCCATCTCAGCACTGAGTTGTACTTCATGGCCCCTCCCCTTGCAGACAACAGTGTGTGTTCTTTCTTGTTAAAAGTAGACATAATTAGAGACGCGCATTAATCTTCAGTATCTGTTAGAATCAGCTGACCTGTGAAACTGCAAAATATTGGCTCACACAGTGGTTTATTTTTAAAATGTTTGTTAGTCAGTTAATATTATAAAAATGTAGAATTTCAGCATCTGGAAAAACCTGTTTGCTAACATGTGACCTTTTCGGAGCCAGTGCTCAAAGTCATCAGCTAGAGCTACTTATCTAAGATTACAGCACACATCTCAGTTCTTCTCCATTTGCTACTTTTAAATTTTCTGACCCAGCACTTTATTCACTTTCTTGGTCTGAGTATTTAGGCATTTACATTGGCTACTTTGCATAAAGGTAAATGGGAGAGCCTACACTTAGTAGCTGTGGGACCTCAGATGCAGTTCAGTTCCTTTGCCTATAAAATCAATATAATTGTTTCTTTTTCTAGGGTATTTTCATGTATATGTCAAGAATTTGAGAACTGTATGAAAGGTAGACTTCAATAACAAACGGTCCAATTAAAGCTGGGTAAAGGACTTACAGGTCTTTCTCCCAAGGTAAAGAGGTAGCTGGTGGGCACATGAAGACATTCAGTATCAGTATTCACTAAGGAAATGCAAGTCAGAACCACTGTGCAACACCACTGTATACCTGTCAGCATGTCTTCTCTCACAAAAAGCAGTCTCAGAGCATAGCAAGCATTGATGAGGGTATGGAGAAATTGGAAATCTTGTGCATTGCTGGGGAGAATGAAGTCAGACAAGTGCTGCAAAGCACTTGGAAGCAGCAACTTGGAAGATTACAGATGAATTACCAGACCATCCAGCAAGTAAATGATACTTTGGGATATGTACTCAAAAGAATCAAAAGCAGAGACTCAGTATTTATGCACTTGTGTTCATGTAGTAGTACTCATGGTAGTAGAAACAACGGGTACTTCCAAAGTGTTGTGTATGTGAGTTACAACATTACCCCCTGTAAAGGAGGAATATTCTGATACATGCTACCCCACGGATGGACCTTGAAGACACTGAGTAAACTTAACCAATCACAAAAGGACAAAACCTCTATCATTCCATTTACAGACCTAACATGGGGGTGACAAAGAATAGAGTGGTGGTTTCCAGAGTCAAAAAAAGGGAAGGACTCGAGAGTATTGTTTAGTGAATGCAGTTTCATCCTGTTGGTGGATGGTAGTGCTGTTGCATAGTGTGCTTGCACTTAATGCTACACCATTATGTACCTAAAAGTGCTTAAAATGGAAAATTAATGTGTAGTTTTGCTGTGATAAATGTGGAGAAGCAATACAACTGGTTCCTAACTGATGTGTGTGATGTGGTGCCATGTGAAATATAATTAGTCAAAATAGATGCTCTTTCTGCTAGTACATATTCACTCTTAAGGATTATTTAGAATTAATAACTAAGGTTTTTGCAAAAATGTTTTAGCATTAAACTACATTGGTACATATTAATTTATTGGTTGTCACCGTCTTTGGGAGTCATTTTAGCTTTAATATATGATATGACTTTTCTAATTATCAGCACAACTGTTGACATGTAGATCTATTTGATTCTATATAAGTGTTAATTAGCTTCATTCATCTTCATGTTATTTTTCTTAGGTTCCGTTTAAGTCCAGCTGCCCGCAATATTCTGGAAAAGCATTCATTGGACGCTAGCCAGGGCACAGCCACTGGCCCTCGGGGGATCTTCACTAAAGAGTATGTGTGTGTTTTTTTGTAACAATCAGTTCCATCATTTATCTTTTTCAGAAAGGATTTTAAAAGCTTATTCTGTGTTGAGATTTAAAATGAGGTACACCATTCTTTGGTGGTTTTTAATTGCTTTTGTCAGTGTGAATTATATTCTATGCAAAGATTGTTTTCTGAATAATTGCAGCATTATTAAAGAATAGTTCTAATTTAGCAACTGTGTCAGATCCTTGGAAGTGGTGTCAAATGGAGAAAGTTAGAGTACATAACAGTGAAATATTATATTTCAAATTTTAAATAACTACCACCAATCACATTTAAATTTCTAAAACATAGAAATGTGTTTTCAAGAATAAATTATCACCTATTTGGATTTTGTTTATTTGCTACAAAGTGTAGCTTTAAAATCTGACAGACATATCACAGTCCTTTTTTTTTTAAGATTTAGCTTTATTATTTTAAAATTACGTGTATGTGCATGTAAGTGTGGGTACCTGCAGAGGCCAAAGAGAACATTGGATACCCTGGAACTGGAGTTATAGGCAGCTGTGAGCCACTACCATGGGTGCTGCTAAAGTTGGGTCCTCTGCAAGAGGATGGGAAGGGGCTTACTGCTGAGCCTCTCTCCAGCCCCAAGATACCAGATTTTGCTTCTTTTTTTTTTTTTTTTTTTTTAAACAAAATTTTTTTTTTTGTTTTTTTTTTTTTTGTTATTTTTTTTTTTTTTTGGTTTTTTTTGAGACAGGGTCTCCCTGTAGCCCCAGCTGTCCTGGAACTTGCTATGTAGGCCAGGCTGGCCTCA